GTCTCAAAACAAGATCAAAAAGACTTTTTAGCTGATATAAGGTTTTAAAACTTGATAAGATGGACATTTTTTGCAGTCGCTCTTTGAAAATTTGACCAATCGTAACAGATTTTTTTGTCTGTTTTAAATAATCCAACTTCTTTCTATGATTTTTCTCTCAAATCCATCATCTTTAAACACCTTTAGGACTACATAATAAGAAGAATTAGGGAAAAACATGTCTGACTAATTCAGCTGTAGTTTTTATGAAATTCTGTTTCAACTAAAGCCAGTATGTTTCTTGTATCGTGTTTTTTTCTTTAATCCTGAAGTGTAAAAATAATAAATAATAAAATTCACAWWATATTTTTTAGGTTTATGTCACCACYGGCCRTAAARGGTCATGAAACGGCCTTGAAAAGRCCCACGGACCACYAGTTGTTAATCACAGTTGTAGCTTATTTTGCRGYTCTGGATGYATTTTATTARTGAGMCGAGGAGCAGAAGTGTCTCTTTTGACTGTTCAGGTTGCAGAGGCCTGTTTTAGACCTGAGTTCATTCTGTCTGTTCAGAGGAATTACACACTAACATCTTGGTTCTGAGAACTGGGTCGGGTTGGTTTGACCAAGTTTGACCCAGTGTTTGGCTKAAAGATGTTCTTCACAGTTTAACTTTTTATGCAAGAAGTTGACCAAATGAAACCTGATTGGATCGCTGCTTTAAGAGGATAGTAATGAGAGTAAGATAGTAAAAAATCAACTTGAATGTTTCATAACTTTAGTTTGCACCAGACAGTGTTTGAGTTGCTAAAGTTAAATTATTTGTGCTAATATTATTTATAGTCTCCACAGGTGTAATTATCTAATAACCCACACTTTAAGTTATTATTGGTTTCTTTAATAAATAAGTCATTTTAATGGAGTATGCTGAGTTGGCATGGTTCAAACTGGTTCAGTCACTGGGTTGTTGTCAGGTTGTTTTTAGCAGATTTTAATGTTTACACAAAACATTTAACCAAGTAGCTTTTTGTCAGCCACTTCAAGTTTTTCCCACACTGCATAAAAACTCACAATCAGTCGTTTTAAAATTCACGGGTAGGGGTGGGGGGGGGACTCTAACTTTGTGAGTCAGGACAGAGAGTGAAGTTGTGCAGATATTATTAACTCTCAGATTTGTACAAACTGGAGTGATACGTTGTGTTTTAGGCAGCTGCCACCCCGTGCCACCCCCCCCTGGAAGCGCCACTGGTTAAGACACAGGTGGATGCAAACCCCCCCTCCTCCTCTAGCAGAGCATGAGGAATGGGTGGGCCGGGCGGTTATTCAGCGGCGGGGGATGCAATTAGTGGTCAGTCGGCTCGGCCCGCTCGTTTTCTTTAGCCTCTCCATTGTTTTCCCTGCAGGTGACACTCCAGAGCTCGTCTGCCCTCCTGAGCGTTCAGAGAGCCAGGCGGATCCGTGCGCCCCCCACCATGGCCTTCCCATCAGCCCCCTCCGCACTATGGATCGTCAGCTTATTGACTGTACTCTTCACAGCTGTGGTTCACAGCAGCATTGTCAATGGTAAGCACATCTCTTCCTGTTCATTTATCTCTCTGTGTCTCTCCGAGGACCCCTGACCTCCTCGACCTTCGCTTTCTGTCTCCGGTGGCGCTGCTCTCTCTGTTGACTCAAGGATTTTTTTTTGTTGTTGTTCCTTTTATTCACCGTATTATGAAAAGAAAAGCAGAGAAGCGTTATTAAGCTCACGGGACGCTCCCACCTCCCTCCGTGGAATCTCTGTTGTTTTGGAGGAATGTGTGTGACTTGCACGTGGGCAAGCGCTCACACGTTACAGGTCCAAGAGTGACCCCCGCCCCCCTCCCCATGCCCGAAGCTTCGATTTCTCCACACTCAGACACAAATGCATTCACACACAGAAAGCACAGAAGCAGGCACTTTGATGTTCACCGCATCTTTTTGTTTTCTCAAATTAATTTTCAGACATAGTCGAGCCCCTGAACCTCTTTCAAGATTCTTCCAACGGTACRATAATGATGGAGCAACCAGGAGCACGGGAACTGTAAAACATTACACAGTCAGGGTTTGCTTCACTATTAGGGGCTGCTCTGTATAACTAGAAGCACTTGGAGAGTGCAAACCTCCGCCAAGACCAATCCCCCCCATCCTGTAAGAGTTAATGCGCAAAAGCAGAGATGGAAACACATTTGCTGAATAAGTTGTGACGTAGTGAACATTTAAGCAGCAGTATGCACGGGATTTCTTCTGGGTGGAGTCCAATGTAAAAAAAAAAAAGTCAGACTCGTCACCCGACGTTATTCATGGTCAAACTGGTGTGGGATTAAACTCCTAAGTTTTCATCAGTCACATTTCACCATGTAAAACATCTGTTTTATCTCCTTGTTTGAGTTTGTAATGGTTTGACTCTCTTTATAAAGTGCTTCCTGGCTCCCCCCGTCTCCAAACTTTGAGGCCCTGCAGCTCTCTGTTTACGAGCCTAGTAGAGACAAACTGTTTTGATTGGTTGTTTCGGAAATATGGTGTGTTTGAGGAAATGGGAAAAATAGGTTTCATGGTGCAGTCACGTACTTCCTGGTCACAAAACGTTCTCTAAATGCRCATATCAGCAAAAAATATTCATCAATAAATGTGGTTTTAACATTACTTTYATAAAGTTTGAAGTCCGTGCTGTCCAACGCAGCTCACTGTTTTTTTTACAGAAGCCCTGTGAAAGCATCACAGCTTTGCCGATGTCAGAGTGTTAAAAGAAAAAAAAAATTCCTGTATCTGCATTGTGATCCGGAACATCACCAAAATTTTAAGTTATGTTCCTTGGCCCAGTACCCACATGTGGTAAAAATGTCATGACAATCMGTCCACAAGTTTTTGAATAAAGTTGTCCACAGACAGAACGACAGACATACGCGACCAAAAACATTACCTCGCCCTTGACGGAGGTAAAAATGCTGTAGCAATTATTTCATTTGGGTAAATTGTAAYCAGTATATTTTAATTAAATATGAAGCAATTTAAAATACTTAAGTTGTCGAAATCCAACAATTCTTTTCATTTTCTAAACTCCGTTAAAACAGATTGGGCCTGAGTATGTATTCATACCAGCAACTTCCTAAAAAATGTGTCAAGTTTGCACTATTTTGCATCATTTTAGCTCAATTAATCAGGTAAATTGTAACGAGTAACGCTTCCTGTTCCGATGCAGGCTGTGTTCTTTAACTAAACAGTTGTAATTAATTAGCTTTCTTGTTATTTTAGTGTAGTTTTAGTGTATTTATTAATTAAATCTTATTGTGTTTTGCATTTTATTATATAGTATAATAGTTTTAGCTTGTTGGTTACTTAATTATACTGTGCTGATTATACTGTATTGCAAGAGCAGAAAATTAGCAGCAGTTCTAAACTCTTTGTGCAGCACATCAGTGCATTATGGTGAACCCTATAAACTTCCAGTCTGTTTTATTCKGCCTGCTGATAAAGGGAGGATCATCTTCTCAGATTGCATCAGAGCACGCGTCCACACATAGCGGTGCTCATAAAGAACACTTGTCGTGACTAAAACTGTAACCGAAGCGGGCGGTAGGAGAGGATTTGATGAGAGAAGCACTTTGTAATGATCTCATCYCTGGGTGTGAGTACCAAGTGAGCAGGAATGCACCGTCCAGTTTGCTTCCCAATTACRTAACTCTCAAGTGACTGGCTGGCAGTAATACAACCTTTAGAGGGCAGCTTGAACCAGAGACAAAGTGGTGTATCACGATTGGCTCCTGAGCCGTAGAGAATTGATTGACACAGGTAGAAATGTGCGTTTGCCATTTTCTCAGTATGGGTTTTGGGGTTTAATTGCAGTCGGTCTTTGGCACAGAAGCGTGAGCCAATTTAGCAGGCAAGAAGCTGCCGAACGGACATATTCTGATTTGCATTTGGAATATATACGATCTCAGAGGCCCATTGTGTTCACTTGTGCTTATCCACACTATTTGTGCAATCATATGCTTGAATAAATGTGTAWGTCCACAGATGCAAGCCCACACACCATCATTTATTTGATGTTGTTTATCCATATAAGCCATTGTTCTTTACTTTCCTTCTAATGAAGCAYAGAGTTTAAGTGCATTTATGGATGAAATAGGGAAGGGAAAGAAACTTCTGGTTTCTTATTGGTCAGTTTATGTGAGAAGTAATGTTGAACCTGGGATGAGGGAAAAGTTAAGGAAATCCAAAGTCCTGAAAGCTGTTAAACAGGAAAAAAAGAGGGACTCCTCGATGATGAAACATGAAATCCCTGTCAGGATGCTGACCCAGGCCATGTAGCTCATCACTGAAACTCAGGTAGCGGTTCATTATTTGGGTCCAAAAAATGATTCTGGCTCCCATTCAGAAGCGTGTCACATTTGATTAAGGTGTGCCCACAGGGAGGCCTGACCATGCATGACCAATTCTTGCTTTGGTTTCACCTAAGCACTGTTTTACATTATCATGTCAGTCAAAGAGCGTAATTAAGCCTGAGACGCCYGACAGCATTTAAGAGATGAGAAAACACGTCAAAGAGTGAAATTGAAAGGGGAATGAGGGATGGAAGGCTGACTTAACAGCACCTTATTATACTCTCTGTGGACTGAGTCGTAGGCTTCTTTGGGATGATTCTTTAAAAAAAAAACTCAATTAAATACCAATGTCAAAGTCRTTTATACCAATTCTGCAAAAGGTGAGCTGTTGAAAATGTAAATAAAAACAAAATACATTGATTTGTAAATCTTATAAACTCTGATTTTATACATAGTGGAACATAACAAATATAGCAAATGCTTAAAGCAGGAAAATTGTTTAAGTTATTGGCATAAAAACAAGATAATTAGGAAACTGATGGCATCAAGACAGCTTACAAAAGTTGGGAGCGCAGCAATGTGGTACAAATAAGAAACAGCTAAATGAGCATTTTGCATCTCATTAGGTTAACAATAAGTCAGAAAGTGGACCGGGCATAAAAGGATCCTTTTAAAGAAGTAAAGATGGGCAGAGGTTCACCAGTCTGCAGAGAACTGAAGGGTTGGGCTTTCAAATCKGCACCACCAATACAGAAAGGTATTTAAATAAGTAAAGTTTTATTTATATAGCACCTTTCACAGAAATAAATGCACAAGGTGCTGTACATTCAGTGAAGGGGGGAGGGGGCAGTTAAGACAGGTCATACAGCAAACACAGTTGCGCTACATTAAAAACAGAACAACAGAAAAACTGTAAAACCTCACAAGGGAAGATGAGGAAAAAAAGCAAAAACATCATATTGTATCAACACTGTGACACACTATGATGTTTATGAAAAAACCTCTGCATAGGGCAGATTTATTAGCCAGAGGAGTAAGTGAGTTTAGTGGGGCCCGAAGAATCCAGTCCCCAAAACCAGCGCAGCCATAGTTCAGAATATTGATGGTAAACTGTTGATTCTGTGAGGCCCTCAGCCTGCTCAGGAAACCAAATCAGATGGGTGAGAGAGGAGGGGGGAGGTGTGGGGCAGAGCCTCGTCGACGTAATCCAGCCAGGAAGAATTTAGACAACAGATCGAGGCCATTGTCGGGGAGATCCAGATTCTGTAATCAGTTGTTTTGGGAACAGAAAGAGTCAGGCAGAYGATAACAATTTTCCATCTGCTTTGTTCTTGTACAGTTCTTAGAACATGTGCTCTAAATTGAAAAGAAACAATAAGAYGACTCAGAACTGTACAATATTCTCTTCCTACAACTCCAGCAACTGGTCTCCTCTGGGATCTGAGACCAGTCATTGTTCTTGGTTGTTAGTAAGAGGGGTGTATTTTCAGTGGTAAAAATACCCCTGTCCCAACTTTCTGAGATATGTTATTACCATAAAATGCTCAAATTACCTGATTTAAAAATATGTTTCTTATTTCTAAATTAGTTATGATTACTGTGTTTCATTGTGAATTAAATATGGGCTTTTAAGGTTTGCAAATCATTGCTTTCAGTGTTTATTTATTTTTTCTTTTTTTTCAGAATTGTGGTTGTATAATCAATCAACTTCTAGTCTTGAAAAATGTTTGAATCATAAAGCAAACAGAGAAACACCCCCGTATTTATTAGCCAGTAGTGGAATTTCTCTTTCCCCAATCGACGACGTAAAGGACAAATGACCGACTTCCCCATGATGCATCCAGCTCTCATTAAGCCACACAAAGCAAAACAATATGCACGTATGTATCATGTATTTTTGCACTTGACATGTGAGTAATTCCCAAACAGGCATGTTGAACTTTGCGTATGAAATGTGTGTTGGCTGCGGCGCAGGTCCATCGCTCACATCTTTCTTCGATCCGTCTTTTTGGTGTTGTTGTGACACTGCAGCAAAGCCGCTAAGTAGAAGATGGATTAGGGCGGTTGAGTAGTCGGATAATGGCTTGTCATAATGGAGAAGTCCATGCAAGAAGGGTCTGGAATAGACGAGGGCCCTACTTAGCATAAATAATTCAACGTTATGTATCAGAGAGGAAAAATGCTGAGCTCAGCAAATCAATGTTGGAGAAGATAAGCCAT